CTAGCAGTACCTAGCCGTACCTAGGTACAGGTACCTAGCAGTCTGGTCTGCGAGAAAAAAGTTTATGTCAACACGAATGCTTAGATTAATTTTGTTTCTGACAACAGGCCCAAGCCTCTCGCTTATATCTTTATGTCTTTATGTCTTTATATCTCACCTACATTTCTACAGCGCGTTGTGTTATATTATTATAGATATAATAGAATTCTTCTGTTCTTATATCTATGGCTATATCACTCGTTTACGCTTCGACGCGTCTCAAAAGAACTTTAATTGGTCGAATTAACTAGCACGTGATCAATCACATGCTGCGTGGATGAGCGCTAGCGTCGCTGAAAAATGATATTTTTTCCGTTCGAATGCGCGCCATTGTTAACTTTTGAAAAACAATTAATAACGTTCCATTGTTGAAATTCGTCTGTGTCTCATTGCTGTCAGTGCCGCCTAGACTGGTCCAGCGTCGTTTAAATTGCAACCGCGTACGTGTGTGTAAAGTGGCGCATCCGCGTACTACCGCAAAGTAGAAGGACCAGTCTATATATAAGTAAAAACACGATCGAGTAATTCATGATACGAGGGTTGTAGGCTCGCGTGAATGAACATCAAACGCGAACATAAAACACTTCGAAAGAGATCTAGACATATAGTTGTGGAACAATAGCCGTGGGCTGCTGGAACCACGGCCCGTGAAATCGCTGTTATATATACACAATGGTTGCTGTCACCGTGGTGTTGGTGAAGGTGTGTGGGGGTGGGGAATGTATGACTTTTCGGCCACGGACATTTCGGCCTAGGACCTTTAGGCCACATATTTTCAACAGATATGACTTTTCGGCCAAATTTAAATTTGTTTTCCCAAATACTTTTTTTTATCCCAGTTCACATACATTAGTGCCATCCATAATATTTCTATAATTATATTTAGGATTTAATGACAATAATAATAAAAATTCAACATTACACAAACAAATAAAACACAAAACAATTTTTAATTTGGCCGAAAAGTCCTATCTGTTGAAAATATGTGGCCGAAAAGTCCTAGGCCAAAAAGTCCTAGGCCGAAAAGTCCGTGGCCGAAAAGTCCGTGGCCGAAAAGTCCGTTCACCGGGGGTTAGGTGGTGGTAGAGGAGGCCTGGGTCAACACTACGGGGTGGGATTCTATTGTTATATACCCCTGGTAGCTGTGACCGTAGGGTGACATGAGACCTAGATCAGCATTAATAATAGATAAATAAATAAATAAATAAATAAATAAATTATTAAATAAATAAATAAATAAATATATAAATAAATAAATAAATAGTAAATCTTCGTCCACCTCAGTTTGCGACTACGTACGCATCTCAATCCTTCACCGCTCTGTTCATGAAAAATAACTTTATATATCATAAATGTCGTAATCAAATAGTATAAAGTGTAGTATGTATATATATGTATATATATATATATATATAAACGAATATATATATATTTATTTATTTATGTCTTTATTTATTTATAAATATAATAATTATTGTTTAATGCTTCGTGTTTTAGGTAAGCCCGTACAAGATGGCACGTTTACACGTAATAACGTGTCCGGCGTTCTGTACGTCAGGAAGGGGAAGTTGTTCCATCAGTGGGCGAAGCGCATGTGCATGCTGTCAGGCACACGCCTTCTCGTCTATCCCGGTGAGTATGGTTATAGCTGTGTAGAGAGACGGGGAGAAGGGGATGTGGAGAGAAATAGAGAGAGAGGGAGAGAGAGAGAGAGAGAGAGAGAGAGAGAGAGAGAGAGAGA